TTGAATGGATCACTGAAGACAGACAAGCTAAACTCTCTCTTTGTGTGTGTGTGTGTGTGTGTGTGTGTGTGTGTGTGCTGGCAAATTAAGGTTGAGGATGTTATATGGCTTGTAACTTATGAAATAGATTTAGGTCGGTCAGCTCTGGATCACACTATCAGCTCGGCTCACCTGAAATCAATGTCACGATCTGTCTGTCTGGTTCTCTCAAGCGGGCTCACGGCTTGTGTTATTTTCTCCAAAGAAACACACTCATTTACCTGTCTAATAGAGATACAACACCAAACAACAGGAAAACCATTGGAAATCTGCAGGAAAACACGGCAGATTTACCAGCAGCATCAGTTTATTTCTTTCATCTTTTATATTATATAAAAGATACATAAAGTAATTCAGGCAGGTCTTGACCGCATTACATGTCCATATCACTTCACCACATGATTTCAGTTATTTCAAAGGTCTTTACTTTAGCCTACAACAGCAAAAGAACCAAAACTCACAACAACACTGACCAAGAAAATAAATATAGTAAAGAACAGGATAAAAACGACAGATTATTTTCATGTTTTTGCCACAAAATTACATTGTATTATGTAAGGAAAACACCTACTCTTTTTCTCCCGCTCTCTCTCCCTTACAAATGCACACACATACAGTGCTGACACATACTCGCACACACGGAAACACACACGCGCAAAGAAACGTGTTGGCAGTGATGCTCTAACAATTTTATCAGTAAAATAGTTTAGCAAGGTAAAAGCTACATGTCATTTCTCACTAGCAAGGTAAATAACGACGTTGTTGTTGGAGCAGATTAACTGACAGAAGACACACAGACTCAGAAGGTAATTCACACGCTTAATCTCTGTCTCTCTTCATAACCGCATTAGTCTGCTATCAACGGCTCAAGCCTCCGTTACTAGGTCTAAAATGACATTTTGGAATTAGCAACAGAGGCGTGGGATGAGATGCGTTAGAAATTAATCCTACACACAAGAGTGTTTTAAGACAAGAGTGTTTCTGTCAGGACCACTATCGTCAAAGATGATTGTCAATTAGCATACAGTTTGGATTGGCGGTATGGTTCCGTTCTGGGCAAGAACTCCCTGCGCCTCCATGCAGCCTAGCATGGATGAGAGCAGGGAGAGCAGCGATAACCCCCCCAGGGTAAACAGAACAGAACCAACATAAATGTATTGCAGATATCGTTAAAGTTCAATAATGTTATGTACACATTTTAGAATTAGTCTGATTCAAAGGAGAATCAGAAGGCTGAATCCTGACTGACAGAGGAGGAGCTGGGGATGGAGGAGGGTAATTAGCTATTGAGCAATGCGAAAACTGCTGATACTACTG